CGCACATCGTTAAAACAACAATTACGATATTATCGCAGACGATATATATCGCACACCCCTAATATATACACACACACAATACAAATAATAAAAACCAATACATTTTAAACTAACAATAATAATATTTTTATTACATTTAATAGTTTAATTAAATAATACTTTACATTTTGTATTAGACTTTATATTAAAACATAAAAATATGTGCCATGGTATCACATGGTAATATCATGGTTAGACTTGTGCCGGTATTCGGTAATGCGATATATCACGGTAATTATACTGTATTATGACAGCACTTTTTTTTAAACAAAATGTCACTATCGTGATAATACCGTATACCGTGATAAAAGCATTAGCAATTAATCGCAACATGAAAATTTGATACCGGCATATCTCTAATCATGGTACTTTTAAAAATGCCATGATACTGAATGATTCCCATATTCATATACCACTGCATTATATGATACTGAAATGTAGAAGATAAACATGCCATATTGATGACTAGGGCCCGGTGCTGCAAAAACTAAATCCACTGAAGAATCAAACAGATTCAGACTTCAGAAGCACGCCGTTCAGCTGATGTATTCCTGTCGTAACATACGTAAATCTCTAACAAATCTGCGCAAAAAGGCTGACGTCAGTGCGCATTCACCACTAGCAAATGTCTCACGTAAATAACCTTGCTCACGCCACTAGTGTAAAAGATGTCCCGCGACTACGCAACTGTCGTACAGTTTAAACGTAACCTAGAGCCTTAGACCGGTGTTTGCGTATCCATTTGAGCAGAGAATGGACTTACGTATTAAAACGTGCGTAAGGGATACGTGAATACCAACACCCTGCTATGCACCTGAACCTCATGAAAAATTATGACTTTAAAATCATTTACATACCGACTCCTCTTCCTTTTCCATCCCAGTTGGCATTTGTGGAACCGTTCGGTTGATGGAGACGCAGTCGGTGAGGTCCGGGAGGTCTTTATTGCGGTAGATCGGCAGCGGTTTGGCGGCGTCTAGCGCTCGCGCGCGGAACGAGAGTTTACTCATTGTTTTTAGCGATCACAAACACAGTAAACACGGATCATTCGGTACAAATACACACACGAGCCAACGGTTCTCTCCGCGGCCGCGCTCACTGACGTCCCTCCGATCGAAATCCGGCGGTTAAAGGCATCTCTGAGCGAGTTATGGTGTTTTTTCACGGGCTTTTTTTTCTCGGCTGGTGTGAAAACATGGCGGACATGATCCCGACAGCCCGCGCGACACTGCCAAAGAGCGTGAGCGGGAGCGCGCGTGTGCCGCTGCGCGCGCACCTCATGCAACACGATATTACGAATTTACGGCACACGGGCACGAGGGAGCACGTGCGTGCATCGAGCTGTCACATAGCCTACATTAGAAGAAGACAGTCTGTTAAACATCTCCCGTGCCGTGATGATCACGTCTTTACATATGCCACGGAGGCAAAGATGGCCTACAATAAAAAATCAAAAAATATATTCAAGATTTTGAGCCACAGAATGTTTTAATTGAAAATCCCATAGGCTATTGATCAACAATTGATGTGCATTGGGGGGAGGGATGCATCCCCCTTAATAGGAACCTTCCAATCCAATCTCATGAGAAAACTGTTTTATGAGATGGAACATTTCTGCAAAGTGATTCACATGGAAACGTAGCCTGCAAGTTTTAGAAAAACGTAAAAATTAGGGTCTAGCCCTAGACCCACCGCTAAACCTAACCAAACATAGGAATTGCACACATTTTGTACGAATTAGTTACCTGTTTGCCAAAATGTAAAATAGGCTATTTACAAGTAGCCATGGGATTATGTTGGTACCTTCACACCCTTGGTCAGGTTAGACATCATACTGAATTTAACACAGATGAAATGAGGATGTGAAGGATAGACTTAGCCTTTACAATGGCAAGCACAATAGCAAGGTCCTAGATCATGTAATTTTCACAACTTACAACTTTCAAAACTGTTTTATGGAGTTCTTGTTTAGAAAGACATTTCGTCAGCTAAACAATCGGTATATGTTGTTAACAGTATTGGGCTGTTACTCCAAAAATTTAATTTAATACTCGATGCTAGTTACTCCTTTCAAAAGTAATATTATTACTTAGTACTATCTGGCAACAGTACACTACTAGTTACATTACTTTTTCTTCCCCATAAAATTCTTCTAAAATGTTACTAACAATATATTTCTGCCTCATCATTTGACCAAAACACTGGATCACAGTCTTTTTACAAACACTCAATGGTGATTGATAGTGACTTTTAAGTAAAAGTGTTAATTGTCATGTGGAGATTGAAGCTAATTTTAGCTATAATTTCTCTATAACCAAATAATATTTATTATATTTCATGAAGTATTTTATCAAAAGAAATCACATAATTTCATAAGATTTTTAATTATAGTAATATAATTTATACTGGGATCAGAGGGATGTGGGTGGGCAAGCCATAATGCCAGAGTAAAGTAATGACAGCTTACACATTTGTGTTCAGATCACCTTTTCTCCTGACAAAATCAGTGTAATGGCAATATTCCCATCCCCTGAATGTAAGCTTTTCCATATTCCAAGCTTTCCTGATGCACTGGTGACTTCATGTGCCTGTGCGAGTCGTGAAAATTATGAAAATAAATCTAGGAATTATTTGATTTCAAATCAGCGGGGTTGAGGCATTAAAAGTAACTAAGTAACTAGCTGTTTTATGGATGATAACTGTAATATTATTACTGAAATCTTATTAGTAATTAGTTACACTACTAGTTGCTGCAAAAAGTAATATTATTGGTTGTTAAACAACAGTAGCTACAATCCATTGAACGCACTGTACCTCTATCCCTCACAGACTTGTTTTCATTCCTGTCAAAAATTAAATACACTGTACTCTGACTAAGATCTCGTGTTATTGCCAATAATGAGAGTAAAGAATTGGGCCTGCTTGGTTTACGAGATATACAACACATTTCAATCCTATTAAATACAAGGCTACTTACTATGGATTATTCCTAAAAATTGTGGTTGTTTTTACTACTGTTTTGTCGCTAAATTTTAACCAGTCTAATGATCAAAACATAGTTCACATATTTTACTGTGATTATGGTTACTGTGCTATTGAGCGTTTTAACACTAACATAATTACAGTATTCTGTTGACATGTATAGTTTCTTAAATAAATAACATATCCTGATCCATGTGCAGTCTGATAGCAGGCGAGCCTGCAGAGAGGAAAGTGTAGGGAGCTGCTTGGAAAAAGTTACCTGCTAAGACACATATCATTTTTAATGAGAGGAACGAGCAGAACTTAGTGCAGAAGCAATCCTATAAAACAGTGGTGGATGTGCGATGGATAAGTGGAGAGTGTCTGAGCGCTGCAGGGGCTGCACTGAGTGTTCCTCTATACAGAACATTGCCTGTATTGCTTGCACACACCAGGATCCGTGAAATAATTGTACCATTTATGTTGTATGCTATACTGTTCAAAAGTTTGGGGTTAGTAAGATTTTCCCTTTTTTTGTTGAAAGAAATTAATACTTTTATTCAATAAGGATCCATTAAATTGATCAAAAATAATTGTAAAGACATTTCTAATGTTACAAAATATTTCTATTTAAAAAAATGCTATTCTTTTGAAGTTTGTATTCATCAGAGAATCTTGGGGAAAAAAGGATTATGTTGTAGACAAAAATATTAAGCAGCACATAAGCAGTGTTTTTCTGTGGTTCAAGATGTTTCACCACTCAGCTGGTTATGATTCCCCATCATTTAAGCTCAAAACACACAATGACGTCCCAAGTCTCAAGACAATTAATTGTTGGAGTCATTACAGGCATTGAGATCCCAGGTGTGAATTAGTGTAAACTGCTGGGATCAGGATGAAAGGTAAGATCACAGGCTTCAAAGATGGCTGTTTCACTTTATCACAAATGGTCAGCTTCCTCTCTTAAATTACCCTTTTTTTCTCTCTCCAAAAGTTTGACTTGAATGTCTGTGTATGTGTGAACCTTGTCTTTTAGTGTAGTCCAGAGGTGTTTCAGCCTCTCTGTGCTGTGACAGCTATGATGTTCCTCATTACTGTACTTCTTTCCCCTCAGGGTCCTGTTCTTTGGGTACACTGGGTCCTGGACCTTCTCTGCTAAGTCCTGGGAGTTCTGGATGTGATGTTCCACGTCGCCAAATAATGGTGACAGCCAGGAATGTGGCCAAGTGTCTCGCAGTGTTGTACGAGGAGTTTATACTGCTGACATTTGGTTCGAGTTGAACTCCCTCTTTATTTTTGGGAACCCTGTATGAACACTGAAGATTCCCTAGGGTAAGCAGGAGTAGAAGTTGCAGTTGGTAGCTTTATTCTAGGACTTAGTGAATGCACAAAGTGTACAAATGAACTAAACACCACCTGAATTATATATTATGAGCTATGTGCATTCACTGAGGGGGAACAGTGAGCCCAAGGGCCTTCGTGATATTGTGACGTGGGCCATAGGCATTACTAGACCCAATTTCATCTCAGCTCAAGTGTGAATATGCATTCACTGTGAAACTTTTGGTCACATCATATTGAAAAGGAGAAAAGTAAGTTACCACTTCTATTCAAGATTCAAGTAGCTTTATTAGAATGGTAAAGAAGGCTTCACATTGCCAAAGCATTGGTAACATTAAATTACAGACATACACATTTACAAACAATTAAAAAACACACAAACCAACAATGAGGGGGAATATTCAAGCTCTATTCAAGCTTATCTTAACAGAAAAACGATGCACAGTCATTTCTTTATAGTTGCTTTTGGGGTTTCTTTGGAGTTTAGAGGTTATGATTTTCCTTTTTGCAGGAGACAGTTTTACTATTTTTCACATTTTATGCCCTCTGGATTGGATATAAAATTTCCTTCAAGAAAGCTGGAGACTGCTGTATACATATTCAGTGGTGGACTGATTTTCAAGTAAAATACATTTGCTCAAAACCAAAAACCACTAGGAGATCATGGTATGTGTTTATGTCTGTCATTAATTGAATTTGTGCACATTACTACTGATCGTTTTAAGCACATTTCCAGATCTCTAGCTGTGGTCTGGACAGTTGGATTGCAGTAGATCCAATATGTTGTGGTTGATTTAACATTTGGCTTTTTAGACAGCTGTTCTGCCCAAGACAAATAAATAAATCTTATGTGTGAATGGCGAGCTTTAAATGTAAAACCTTGCTGATACAACTAACATTAAATTGTCACATCAACAGTTTTTCAGAGTTAATCTGGAACCTTGCTAAAATACATGTTTAAAGACAGATGGTGTTCATTTTCATTTAAACAAGTACCTTAGGGAAATAATTAAGGTCACATTTAATGTTTTTTATTTATGAAAAATTTTAATTAGCTTTTTATTTTTATATGTTCACCTTTCATATTTTTTATTTTATATTTAGAAATTTTGTTGTGCATTTTTCATTTGTATTAATTTATATATATTATATACAGGTGCATCTCAATAAATTAGAATGTCGTGGAAAAGTTCATTTATTTCAGTAATTCCAACTCAAATTTTTATTTAATACACGAGTTTCACAATTTGAGTTGAATTACTGAAATAAATGAACTTTTCCACGACATTCTAATTTATTGAGATGCACCTGTATATCTATATAGAGAGAGAGAGAGAGAGAGAGAGAGAGAGAGAGCTTTAATTCAATTTTATTTCAGATAGTGTTAATAGTAGTAATTTCAGTTTTTTTAAAGTTTTTAAATTTTTTTGTACAATATTTATATTTTATTTCAGCTTAATTTCAAGTACCGAAAACAATTTTTAATAGCTAGTTTTAATTAATAACAACAGTGATGTTTACATTTTTCAAAGCAGTTAAAATCCTCGGGTGCATCGTGTTGCTGGAGAAGCGGGTGGCAGATGTGCATGCAGCACAATGGCTTTGTGACTTCTGTGTTTGGGGAGCTGCCAAATGATTCTAGAGACACATGTTTTTCCCAAGAGGAGCTCAATGTAGATGTTAATTTTCTCCTCCAGGGATAATGGTTCTCTCTGATCAGGTTATTATCAACGACTGTGATGTCAACATAAACTGAACGTAAACAATGCCATGATGTCATAGGGCAGTTTGACTGACTTTAAGGAGTTGCTTTTGCATGAATACTGGTCAAAATTCAAACACAGCGATGCCCAAAACACTCAAAAATGTGTGTAAAACACGTGTACACCACGAGATGCTGAAACAGTGATGGTTTGAATGAAAATTTCTGGACTGTGAAATTTACATTTAAATGTATGCATTTTTATCCAA